AAATAGGGGAATTCTAATAGAATCCAACCGCGAAGCAAGCGCGGCCGCTTGCTTAGCCGGTTTTTGTCGTATATATAGAGGTGTATTCCAATACAATCGGCGAAGCCGAAAGATTTTGTCGTATATATAGAGGTGTCTGAAAATGCAATCTTAATGTACTTGCTGACAACCACCCTTCTTGCTGTGCCTGCTGAGCAAGGCAAGCAAGCGCGACACGGTTGCCGATCGCTGCGCTTGCTCAGCAAGCAGTGCTACTTGGATTCTTGACTACATTCATTAACGCCATTCACGCTGGCGTCGATGCGCATAGAAAATTAACGGCATTAACGCCATTCACCCCCGGGGGGGGAAAGCAAGCAAAGCTTGCCCTGGCGCGTATAGGATTTCCAAGCCTATACCAATTTTCAATTGTTTCTCTTTAACGCCATTAACGCCAAGAGTTTATAACCCTTTTCTTTTCGCGCTTGCGAAGCAACAGCTGCGCGGATGGCGTAAATAATTAGTCGAAAACCGCTTGCGCTGTGGGAATCCGTTCAACCGCCCTGAATCCGCGACGATCCGCATAGCTCCGCATAGCTCCGCATAGCTCCGCATAGCTCCGCTTGCGGCGGTTCGCGCCTTACTGATTAAGCTTTCAGAATTAGAAAGGGGGTGTAGTTCAGTAGGTAGAACGTATGCTTTGCACGCATAAAGTCATCGGTTAAAACCCGGTCATCTCCAACAGCGCTAAGAGATCTACAATTCAAACTTTTGTAAACCGAAAGGTCACTTAAAGAGCAGACATATTCGCAGGTTATCGCGGAACCGCGCTTGGACCGAAGGTAAGCAAGCGCCGTTATCAGCTACGCTGATCTTGCTCAGCAACTAACGGCTTGTTGCGAAGCAAGGTTCTTGCGCAGCAGGCTAGTTGCGATCTTTACAGCTTGATCAAGCCTAGTAGCTAGGCTGAAACGGCCCTCAGCAAGCGCGGTCAGCTCCACAAGCTTATATCATACAAATATCTGCTTCGAACCGCGCTTGCTTGCCTTGCTCAGCAGGTAGGCTTGGCTGAGCCCGTCCGCCTCAGCAAGACCTGCTTACCGTGCGTATATCGGCGCGGCAAGGCTACATAGCGGCCGTTCCGCGCCTACATACCAGCGACCCGGCTAATAGACCTATTTCTGCTACGTAGGTAAGCAGGCGAATCGAACCGGGGCGCTTGCTGTGCCTGCTGAGCAAGGCAAGCAAGCGCGGTTCGAGGCTGTTATGCAGGTCTAACTGACTTGCGCGACCCTACCCGCTAACTTGCTGTGCAAGCCCTTCGCAAGCCTCGAACGGTTAGGCGTGGTATGCAAATCACGCGGGTAAGCAAAAAAACTAGCATAGGGCGCAAGTTCTTCTTAAAGTAACTATTGCGCACGAGAAAAGTTCGCTTTAGCCGCCTTGAAGCTGCCTGCAAGCAAACACAAAACAAACAAGAGTTTGATCCTGGCTCAGAATGAACGCTAGCAACAGGCTTAACACATGCAAGTGGAACGAGCATGTGAAGATTTTCATCTGCAAGTCGCAAACGGGTGAGTAACACGTGAGAATCTACCTAGCAATTCGGCATATCTCTAAGTATTATGCGCTCTTAGTGAACATACTAAAGAGTCTCGCTTATATGCTTAAAATACCGAAGAAAAAGATGTACTTTTGTTTTCTGCATACCTGCATTCAGGCGGCCTAGATCCAGCAAAAGAAAAATGTTCAAAAGCGCGAAGCTGCTTCGCATGTAACCGCGTACGCGGTTGTAGCGCGATATGAAGAAGAGAAGAAAGAACACAAAAAAGGCAAAGTCCCGTGTTAGATGAGCTCGCGCAAGA